TCATCATGTACATGTAGAAACTAGGCTTTACTCACCACTTCCCAGTAAAGTGATTTAAAAGTCATTTGTATTTAGGACAGTGGTCTTGGTCGGCTGATCATCTCCCTTACAGTTGTATTAGAAAATTTGTTGTGAAACATGTCTTGAAAGACCACTGGTCTATAACAATGTATGTACAGTGGCTACTTTTTGTTTTGGATGGCCTCTGAGAACCAGCCCTGCTGAGAACAGGTATCTCTCTAAAATTCTTAACCCCTTCCATGCTGTGGTCAGCACATCCTGTCCCAGATTTGTAATGCTGAATAATGTGTCGAAAAAGGAAAGGCTAGTTAGGCTACTCTAATCTTTCTCCTTTAAAAACAATCTGTGACTTTGGTCAATCCATTGAGGAATTTATTTCCATACTTTCCTCTTCAAAATCTAGGAATAATAACACTCAAATATTTTCCAATTCCAAAATGGTTATTTGTAATAATTGCTCAAAAAACTTGGTGGCGCAGAATACATGTACTGTACAGTTGTAGGTGAAGATGTGCCCCCTCCCATCTCCCCTCCCCCTCCCTGACCCCTTGAGCGGGACAATTTTTCACATTTTCCAGCATGTTTTCAGGCAACGTTTATTTTCATGCAGTTTTACCTTATGGACCTGCTAAGGCTGCTATTAAGGAAAACAGCACCTTTGAATATATTCACACCCCCACCCACCCACCGTGCATCATACATCAGACAGGCTTTATTGATGACAGGCTGCCTTAGACTCCAGTCAGACTTTTTTTTAACACTCAAGCACATTTCAATAGGCTTTGATCATGTACGTACAAAAACCCCTTGGTGGGGTACCGTAAATCTCCGCGTATAAGACGCACCTTTTTACCACCGAAAAATTTAACTCTAAGTTGGACTTAAACATTATAGAGAGCCATTTGTAGCTTTAAAAATGAAATATATTAAAAAGCAAAAATTCAAGTAAATATAGACTTTTCATAAATTCCACATCAAGAACATGAAATCTCCTTGGAAATAGAACATATAAATGATTTGAATCAACGTTTTATGCCTTTTAAAATAAATTTTACAAAATATTTTACAAAATATTTTCAAAGATGCTAATTGTTAAAGCGATCCGGTAACTTTGTCTGAGATTCTGAAAAAAAATCCTGGATTTGGCTCAGGCTGCAATGATATTTATAGACTTTTAGGAAAGTCTGGAACCCTATGACTTTAACAAGCCGATCGTCTGTCTGATTATCAAGATATTTATGATTGGATATCGTAACCAAATTTTGCATTTTCCTAACGGTTTTCATTACACTGCAGTCTATTGAGGAAAACGAGTCTAGTAAAACCGGTCATTCAAGATTTTTTTACTTTTTTGAGGCACTTCTTGATCATTTTGAAGTGATTTCTTTAGGGCTTCAATATTAAACCATATCACAGACACTGATAACACGTAGGGACGTGCATCTCAGATTTAACATTGTTAAACGATGCCTTTAAGTTCAACTTAGGATCTTTGTGAAACACCCCCATGGACATGTAACCATCGTTAATGTGACAAGGGTTTGCACCTACAGACTAGCTTGCAAGCCCACTCTCACCTGTCCCATAATGTTGGCAATGATTACGCATCAGACTAACCTATAGCCTTCCTAATTTTAGGAGGCATGCCATTTTCCGCAGCTGATCCGACCCATAAATCTTGCAAAAGATGCATGTACACAGAGGTGTAAAGTGCAAATGTCAACATAGAAAGTGTGCATGTAGGTTGATGTATTTTGTGAAAAGTTTATACTTGACAGGAATAATGCATTTTTCATCAGCTATTCAGTTACTCAATCGATCAATCAAACAAATTAGCAACAATAATTTGAACAGTAAAGTTTAGGCCAACAAACATGTACATGTTTTATATACCCTTTTTTCTGAACATATAAACTACCATACTACATGTATTATTACAAACATACACTGTACATCATATTGTAAGACATATACATGTATGTACCGGTACCTGAAAATCATACAAAACGCTTTTAAATAAATAAAAAATGGAATTCCTGCCTACCCATTATTCTTCCTTTTTTTTTGTATTGCTCTTTTGACGATTGCTTCATGTCAATTTCCTGAACTAGCTAAATTCTTAAAATAATTTCAACCCTGGATCACAATATCAAACCCCAAATCCCCAATCCTAACTCTAGGCTAACCAACATGTAATATATGTAAAACCCTAATGCAACCCTAAACTTATAATATACAGTACATGTACAGTATACAATGGAATAAAGCCAAGAGCAATTGTCGCTAGAGAAAACGTCAGAACTCAGAAGGACAGACAAGTAAAACCTACTTTAGCTCAAAATGAAAATCCCCAAATGCAAAGTTTAAACAAGTCATACTTTGCGGGACGGGATGATGTCTATTATTAGGGTACAGTGTGTACATGTACCTGGTCCTGTATACCAGTAGGCTATGGTGGATTTTATTTTTTGCTAAAATCCAGAGGCTTCTTAGCTTTTCGAAGTTAAGTAGTGATACACTGTACGTTCGATTCTAAGCCTTTTTTTTAATGTGCAGACTGGGAGCAATATTTTGAAAACTGTTGTAATATGTCTGATATTGTTTTTCTCCATTAAAACAAAATTTGTATTCTGAATATTGTAACTTTTGTAGAAAATGTTATCATTCGATTTATTACTCTGCAGTCTGCACCCAAATGTTGTTCATCCAACATTTGTGAATTTGAAACTGATAAAATGGTGCATAATCTTATTCTTAACCCGTTGTCTCATGGAACAGAGTGGTCCCTGTGTAATGCGTATGGGAATGACAAACAAAACAATACACACTAAGCCTGTTAATACACACAAGATAATATGATGACATAATTAATGTAGGTACAGTACATGGCATTTAAAACAAAATATCAGATGTACAACAGCATACAGTTTTATCTCATCATTACGGCAATCTTTTCTAGCCAAGCATCAGGCGATACATACAGTAGTTCACTCTTCAGGAGCAAGGGCCTAAGGCCAGGGGCTTTGTGTGTATGTGACTCACAATCTCACCAAAGAGACATTTCGAGGAAACTGCAGGAGTTGATTCAACGATTACTCATCATTATGTGATTTCATTCCAACGGGAGAGGTTGGACCATTCATTGCAGTCGACTGTATTTTACAGCTTATTGCACAGTTAACAGGCAAAATCTTCACCCAGAACTATATTGGCTGATCTATAAATTATAAAATGTATCTTTATTGGTAGGGTCTCACATGTACAACTGTAGAGGTGGTCCTTCAAGAGCAAATACTATATAGACTGCCAAAACTTTTTTCTTATCAACTTGCAAAAATTTCAGTGCTGTATTAATTCTTATAGATACCGGTATGAAGGGGTGACCAAAGTTCGCGGATATTTTTCTTTTCTTGCACATTACAAAAGATCCAGATCAACATATATCATGTTCCATACGTCATAAGATTCGTAATTTATCATATAATCAGATTATATAACATTCCAAGGCTTTATTTACTTCAAATCAATGATAAGACGAGAATATCGGAAGCCTTACCACTACCGACGTCCGTCAAAAAGTGTGACCTAAGTTCGCGCATGATATTTACTGCCCTCTTGTGATGGGCTTTATATATGTAAACATTCCAAAAAGTTACGTAGTTTCAATCAGAAGCCGAACTTTATATTGAAACTTTGAAAAAGATAATAATTTCTCTCTATCATTGAAATAGTGCCCGATAAAAATACCCTCGTTAATTTTTGCAACTAAAAGACAATATTTGTCAATGTTTATGTGTTAATGACAATGTAGTCCCTATCTGCATGTCATTTGTTTGTTTGAAAAAATTATCATGTGTCTCCTTTTTATATGTCAGCCATACACGAGTTCTCGCTCTTTTCTCTCTTTGTCTCTCCACTTTCCCCTTTTAAATTTGTATTCTTACGAAACCCATAGATTCATTGAAATTCACAAACACAGATACGGTGGAAGCAGGCGCGCAGGTTCTGTTTTTTGCGTAAGAAATTGGAATTTTATCATTATTTTTTGGAGTCAATCCCTCTAATAAACTGATTTTCATATAAAAAAAACACAATTTGTTGTGATATAAAGGGTGAAAAAGCTAGCTTATTCACATTTTTATGTCGCATTTTGACCTTTGGAGTTGTCGACGGTGCTCAAAGATTTCGTTGTCTCAGTCCCACACAGGCATCGCGTATCGTTCTCCTCTTATAAAGCGCTTTTAGTGTTAGTACGCGAACTTTGGTCACGCGCGAACTTTGGTCACACCACCATACAACAAAACATACAACAAAATACTTAGTTTTTCACCTTTCAAATTGGCAAAATGGCAGGTTGCATACCACAACACAGGCCGCGCACAGCCACAGTACTACAACATTACAAATAGAAAGAAATAGAGTCTGTCTAGATCTTTATCTACATATACATAATCTAGATTTAGATCTAGACTAGGGTCTAGGGCCTAGGATCTATATTAAACAACCCATACCGGTAATAAGAAAATGCCATCGGGATAGGACTATCGAAATTGTCATAACCACACACACATATAAATGTATGGTTCCCAAACAAGTGGACCAGTCCTTTCAGAAGTAGTAGAAATCTAATTGTTACTTTAATGTCTTGTTAAATGTAGTTTAGACTTCTAACGTTAGGCCTACAGACAGACTGTACAGTTAATCTTTTCTTTTCCTTTTTTTAAAGATGGGTTCACTAGATCTAGAACAGTTCTAGCCAATCTATATCTAGGTTTAAGTGTGAGGGGAAGTCAAATGACATACTCAATTTAAATGTCAACTCAATAATAATGATACTTCTTGACTCATACATTAATTAAAGATACATCTTAAAATCAAACAACAACAAAAATCAGAAGAAATTAAAACAAATGAAACTTGAAATGAAAGTCTGTTTTCATCTGTTCAATTTTAATAAGAAAAGAAACTTTTCCACAAACCTTGCTTTCGCACAGGCATATTCACTGGAAAATCCACCGTTGATTGAGGAAGAATTCAACAAACGAGTAAAATATCCAAAAATAATCCACAAATTTAGGTCGAAATAGTAGCTTGTCTTGCAACATGCAACAGTTGCCAGTAATTTTTTCTCCGAACTCTGGTGAGCTTTCCTGCCTAGACCAGCGGGGTTGAAACAGTGAGGACTGCCTACGCCTTTCGTTGAACTAGCTGCTCTTTTATGAGGGCGTTACTCCACCTTAAATATCCAAGAAAGCAGCATCAAAATCCGGAATAAATCAAGATATCCGTGAAAATATGATCACAGATGATATGAGTGATTGATTCAAAGGATGAACTACCCTAGTTATCACGAAAACTGTAGAGGCAATCGCTTGTTGTTATTTACTGCCGAAACGAGAAATCGCTCGAGTGACAATATGGCGACCTTGTAAATTGACGATCACGTGACCCGCGTGACCTGGAGAATTTCCGCATGTTTTTGCTGCGTTCCTGATGAAAGAAATCCTGTTTATTTACCTGAAGACATCAACGATAGTGGTAAGTAATCGGTTACACATGCAAAGAAATGAAGAGATCACGGGAAAATGCTGTATAAGTCGTTGAATTTCTATAGGAATTCGGCTACGTGCAGTAAAGTGCAGACGAGGTTCAATCCTGGTCCCATACATAGACATTTATGTAAGATTTTGACATTGCGAAATGTGTTATTGATATTTATTGTCATTTAGGCCTAGACTATGTCTTATAAATAATATTGTTTCTCTTTTAATCTGAATTACAAGCTAGTACTAGTAGATCTAGACCTACTTATCAATTTGATATGTCGACATGCTCAAATTCAATAAATTGTCAGGATTGATTAATTTGATTGTCAAATCAAAGAAAAACATGATTCAATAAGAAATGTTAGATTTGGAAGTCTGATCTGGGCAGCATTTCACAAAACAGTCATTTTACAGGTACGCGAACAACCATTGACATGCCTAGGTCTATTTAATTTAACATGCATTGCACTGAGATGTTAGCGAACTTGTACTTGGGTCTAGACTAGACCCAGTTTTGTGAAATAATGCGTTGAAAGACACAAGTTGAAAAAGTTATATTTTGATAGATTCATTGGTCCAAATTAAGATTTATGATCCAAAAAAGCCTGAAATTTTTTTTTTATTCCAGAGGGTTCATATTAATTCCAAAGATGAATAGAATTCATACTCGTAAATAGAAAATAGAAGCCAATTTCCATTTCTGGAATACTTGAACTTACTGTTCCTTAAACCTTTTTAATGATGAACTGTATTTAGCTACATATAGGGTTGACGTCCGAGTTCTGGACATAAGTTGATATGCCTTTATGTCCAGTTTCTGGTCATTTGGCACTCCAGCAAAGCATAGAGAGTCAATGCTAAAGCGTATTGACCTCTAGCACTGCATACATGCTGTGGGACAGGGACCTAGAAGTCTATACACAAATATACACACCACACAATATCGCATAGACTGTACACAATCATGTCGATGCAGCTGTAAGCAAAGTTTGACATTAGACTTACAATTTGATTTTTTAAATTATTCTTTTTAACATCAGTAAGTTAAACAAAATATATTTTACTGCTATTTAGGTGTCATCGATTGTCACTAAAGTACTGATTTTTAGTGAAATCAGTTGAGTTTTGTACAGTGGTGTTTGAAATGTTGAGAATCAAAAGCACAGCTTTTACTACACAGGCAGGATAGTGATGCTCCTATGTGTGGTCATTTGGTAGTGCTCCAGCAGTATATGTGGTCTGTGGGAGCTGCTCTTTAATTTACTTTAAATTTAGCATTTTGCCAGAGCCTATCCAGCCTATTGTGTCATTGTGTAAAAGTGCTCTTACCATTCTTTTTTTTCTTCTTCTCCTTTATTAAATATCTTCATATGTATTGCTTGTATAATGCAGGGCTGAGCTATTATTAGTATGACAACAGTACCACAGCAGCTGAAGGACTCGAAGGAGCAACGAGAGGTCATCTCGGTGTCGGCAGCGCTGAAAGAACAATATGATGCTATCAAGGCTCTAGGAGGACCAAAAGCGTAAGCTCGGGAGATCCACCCATATTTCAGTTTCTTTAATCATAGCAGCTTGGGAAGATATTTAATCATGTTATTAAACATGTGACAGGGTTTTGCAATGAAAACTAAGTGGATTCCAAAGAGAAGTTTAAGTCCTGGTCAAGGTATAAAAGATTTGTTCATTCTTTTTATGTTCTAGTGTGGAAGAATATGATAGTATAAATGTCATGTGTAACTTTAGAGAGTAAATATTTTTGATTTTAGAGCTTCTTTCGCCTGGGTTGTGATTCAGACTCAGCCTAGTTGATCTGGTTCCTAGACCTCCTGACCCTAGATAACACAACCAACTACCTTGACAGCTCATTCATCCATAATCTGACACTGGAATAATAATGTATAATAAAATCAGTGATTGTAGTTTATTAAATCATGAATAAATAAAGTTGGTCAAACTATCTGCTGTACATGTGTAACCTGTTCCTGGATAACTTAACCCGGTCTAGCTGTCACGGATGCATGGTCAGGTGATCCAGAGCCAAAGCAGTCGGTCCTCTGGTTGCTTTCTAACAAGCATTGATGCTTTCTTAGCAGTCCGGTAAAATAACCACCACACACACTAACACACACAATAAAGAGTTCACATTCTCGCCTTTCTTCTTCAGATGGCCTTTCGTGCAGGGCAACCCCCTGGTTGCCTTCAACACCGGTCTTGTAGGTCTGGTGTCCAACTCGTTCTTCCGGCGCATGCTGATGGTCCGAAAGGGCCTCGTCCTCTCTAGCCTCCCCATGGCCGTCATCCCAGGCATCACCATGACCCTCATCTACCCCATCTTAATCAGCAATCCAATCCTGGTGGGGGACCTGAAGTGCCCTCTGTGTGCCTCTCTCAGGGCAGGCGCCTTGGGGCTAACCTTGGGTAAGTTTAGAAGAAGCAGTAGGCCTGTCTTCATCAGCTCGAGATTGCCAAATAGCTCGCTATTTCTGATTTGGGAAATAAGCCCGAAGTTACAAATCGCGTCTTCATCAGCTTGAGACTCGACCTCGAGAATTAGCTCAACATATTTTGCTCAGTGTTCTCCCATAGTACAAGTCTTCGGGCTGGTGAAGACGCACTGGACAAATAGTGGGGTATTTTGGCAAATTGCATAATATTTTGCAAACTAGCCCAAGATATCTTGGGATGATTGTCTCGACCAAACTTCCCTCCAATTGGGACTGCGGGCTGATGAAGACGCAAATTAGCTGGATAATTAGCGATCGGGATAGTTAAAAAAGCGGGTTACTTGGCAATCTCGAGCTGATGATGACAGGCCTAGTGTAATTGTTTAGATGTCTTGCCTCCCTATCATCTTTGTAAACCTTAATCTGATATCCATCCTTGGAAATTTTTAAGAAGCAAAAATGTGATGGTCATCGGATTTACAAATTTGCAGATGGGGAAAAACAAAATGGGTTGTCGGATTTCCAAATCTTGGGACAGATGTTCACGTTTCCTTCTCACAAAGCAAATAATCAATATTTCAGAAATTTTGTTTTTATCGTCATATCCCCATGGTCCTCTCAAGCATTCAAATCTAACCACCACAAGACTTTGGGTACTTGAAAAGAGAAAAGCAGTGTCAATAAAATGCTTCATACCCCAGTTTACAGGCAGGACTGACACCAGACCGAGAAACACTTGTTCATTACGGGACGGTTTAGATTGGGTAAATGTGCAATTTTAAATCAATATATGTTCTCACCTACCCTAAGCTATATTCATAGGTCAACTGCTTTGAATGATTTCTTGTTTAAGATGAAGAGAAAGAATTCTCCTCTGGAGTACAGTGAGTGCCATGCTGGGTCTCAGGACCAGGATGTAAACCAGTCCTTTCTGTTCTTGTTATCCCGATGAAATATGTTTTAAAAAAATAAATAAATAAATAAACAGACAACTTTTTCATCATCCTCAGTCAAGTGACTAAACTACTCAAATATGAGACCCCTCAATCTCTAGCCACTTATCCCATTTTTTTGCCTTTTTCTTACAACAGGTTCTATCTACCCGTTCCTGCTGGCGATCCCACTCAACTCAGCCCTGGCCATCAACTACGCCACCATCGAGGTCCCTATGTTTTCCAAGAAGTCCAGTTTCAATGAGGCTCTCCAGTTCTGGCAGAGGAAGGTGCGTTACTTCAAGGGCCAGTTCATCAGCATCGCCATCTTCCAGATGTTCTTGTTTGCATTTGTGGCGGACAGGCAGTTCAGATTAGCGCACACGGAGCTGGACGTGCAGTTCGTGAAGGAGGAGAGATGATGAAAGGTGCCATGTAGTCGGCAACAGTATTATACGACGATCCACAAATTCAGAGAATATTTTCTTGGTGTGGCACATGTTTATATGGAGCTGCATGTGTGTGAACTGGTGGAAGGAATAGCCAGGAGCGCTGATTCCAAAGACGTTTTCAACCAGTGTCCAAATTAGTCCAAATGCACTGTTTACTTTAAAAACTGTCACATGGATGAAATGTTCGCGAATTTTGTTAGTGGTCCAGTTTGCAAAATTACATGTTTTGCCAAATAATGTACTCAGAATTTAAACGACACCAAATTTTGTGATTCCTAATTTTGTTGTTGTTGATTTTTTGTTGTTGCAGTGAAATGGCTGCCCTTGGCATTTTGCAAAAGTTTCTGTTCTCACAGTAAGCTTTTATTTATCGCCAATTTTGTGCATTGTAGGTTCTCGAAGTTTGCAGTCAGTAGTAAATTTCATGCCTACAGTTTCAACCAATCAGAGGCCTGATTCTGTGGTACATGTATATCATAAGCCCTACATGTATATGTTGCTGACTAACAATAAACAGAAATTGACATAGAAAAGAAGGTGATTACAGTGACGGCATACCCGAACGTAAAGAAATAAGGTACTCGCGCCAAAATCTGTTTACTATTTGTTTAACTCTGTTACGAAAGGGATATGATTCAGATTAATCTTGGGACATGCCATGGTCTATTTGCAATCTAATTTTCTATGTTTGAAGCCAGGAGGGTGTTAACTCATATAATTTTACATAGAGTGCGCTCTTTTAACTCCAAACATATGATTTTATATTAAACATATGTATAAAGCTCTATGAGTACTTTGTATTCACATTATATGATTATTAAATCATGTTGAAACAGTACATTTTATCCTTTGTGTTAATAGTAATAGTGTGCATGTTTTTGTATTTGTGTTTTATATGCTGTATGCTCAATATACTTGAAATGAAGTGTTGAGAGAAGTGAAAGGAGATGAGAGAAAGAATGAAAAATGAAATAGCTGATAGCTGGAAGAAGCAATGTGAGCCAAAACAAAAAAGATAGAGAAATATTGTGAGGGTAAAAGGCAGGTTAAACAGAGATTAAAAGCAGAATGAAGAAACCAGTGCAAAAATGTAAGGAATGAGCATAGAAAGAGAAAATGAAAGAGCACCCCCCCCCCCCAAAAAAAAAAAAAAAAACACACACACACAACAACAACAACAACAACAACATGGGGGAAATGTAATTCTAATCAATACCACAAAAAAATAATTATACTGGCAGTCGGTGGTATGTGGGGATGTCATTTAATATATAATGTTTTGAACAGGAGATGGCGCTACTCCACCAATTTGAATTGGTACGACTATTTCGAGTCACAAGAAGTGAATCCGTCCAGCAGAAGGTGGGAGTTGCAATAAACACAGTTTCATGGATTAAAATATACTGTTATTAGTAATATATTGTATTATTACTATATAGAAACGCTCTGAATCACAGAGATATGTTTGATCAAGATTTGTACATGGCGCATACAATAGTAGTTGCGAAAACTTAGAACTAGTAAGTGGTGGACAATCACGTATTAATAAGTACAGAAATATAATTTTGCACAGCATATACGCTCTTTAGAAAAACATCCGAAGGACTAAAATGTTTAATAATGGAAATCAGGCTAATCATCAATTAATTAATGATACTAGTGAGCCAGTTGAGTGACAAGTTCTCGATGGTTATCGAGCGATGCCACCCAAAGTTCAAGGCGTAAACATTTTCCGCATCGCTAGACGCCTGGTATTAGGTTTGATAGAGGGGGGCGGGGGGGGGGGGGGGTGAACATAACAAGAAAAAAACTATTGCGATGCAACATTCAAACCGTCCGCCCAAATGCAAAGTCAGACTTTCCTCTCCTATTCTTTCTTTTAGAAAGAACACATCGAGATTGTTTCAATTTGTATCCTCGTGTACTTTTTATAAGCTAGTCTTGAATCATATAAAAATGCCTTAATTATCATCAGTTGGTAAGGAATTTGGTTATCCACTTGAAATAAACATGCAAGGTATCAACAAAAGGCAATATCAAAAACTCGATTTCATAAAGATTTTAGTTGTTGTGAGATAAGTGTTGATTTTGGCTAATAATAAAATAGCGCCATCTCACAACATCGCATCTCTGACTGTGAACGTCGAAATCACTCGACTCGATAACCAATATCGAAATTCTGAAATTACGATGTTTAAAGAGGAGTAATGTTTTCTTTTTTGTTAAACAATAACAACAACAATTGTTTGGAGAACTATGAGAGGAAAATGCTCTCAGTCGCTATAACTTAGGGGTACACTTTATAGGGATTTTATGAGATACTCTATTGCTTCGGGGTAGATAACAAACTTCTTGTCATGGCACATATAATTTATGTCTATTTCAATCATGAGTGACATTTGGTAATGTAAATGCAGGATAATTTGTTTTTTTAATCGAGCTTTTGCTTCAAACTTCTTTCATCTTCCATAAATAATTTACATCCTCGTAAGCAGGCGCGTACGCAGGATTTTTTCAAGGGGGGGGGGTTTTAACATTTATAAATCGGTCCGAAAATTTCGCAACGACTCAGCCAGCCGCTGAATAAGCGGGGGGGGGGGGGGGGGGGGGGGGGGGGGGGGGGGGGGGAGGACACATTTTTTTTTTTTTTGGTCCCAAAAAAATCGCAACGACTCAGCCAGCCGCTGAATAAGCGGGGGGGGGGGGGGGGGGGGGGGGGGGGGGGGGGGGGGGGGGGGGGGGTAAGAGGACACTTTTTTTTTTTTTTTTGGTCTCGAAATTTGGAAATTTGACATTTTGCTCCGTTGGTGGGGGGGGTAAGGTCACCTTTTTTAGGTCGGCCATGGGAATAATTTTTTTTTTTTTTTTTTTTTTTTAATAATTAAAAAAAAAAAAAAAAAAAAAAAAAAAAAAAAAAAAAATCCAAAAGGGGGGGGGTTTAGGTTTTTTTTAGGGGGGTTACACACAAAAAATTTCCAAAGGGGGGGGTTTAACCCCCCAAACCCCCCCCCCTGCGTACGCGCCTGCTCGTAAGACAAAGCCCTTCAGGAACCCTGCCCCCCCCCCGAGTATCCGATTTTGTTACCACTCAAAACCATAACCACCTGCAGAAATAATTAGAAGTCCTATAGAGGATTCGACTATGTAGTAGAACAATTTTGAAAAGTGAAGAAAGGTAAATGTAAGAATGTTGCTGTTTTGTTCATGTGATATTTTGCCTATACTTTAGGAAAATTTCTTCTATGCAATGACCCCCATCTCCCACTCCTCGCTCTCCTTCTCTCCCCCTCTCTCTCCATCTCCCTCTCTCCCATTTCCTCTCCCAGAGAGAGGATGTGAGACAAATAAAAGAGACAGAGAGAGAGGGAGGCGGAAATAGAAAGTGATAGACAAATATAGAGATGGAAAGGGGGGGGGGGGCGAAAGAGTTTCTCCGATAGAAAAAAAAAAATAAACAACACAAGCAACCATTGAAGGCAACATTTCACATGGTTATATTATTTCGCTGATATTCGCCCGCTGGGAATTTTCTGTAAACAAAGTAATTAGCATCACCAGTCTAAATGTTAAATGCTATCGATTTCTACCAATCAATTAAAGTCCACGTGTAAACACAAGTTACTGCTTAATTTTGGAAATAGGGTTTTAAAGCCACCCGCCCGCTACGATCAATAATTGATCGGACAAAAATGGCTTATCTCAGAAGTCGAAACGCGAAAAGCATTTTTGTGATTATGTAATATTGTTGAGATGTGTCATCGTTAGATAGTGTTTTGTGAAAGGAGTATAGAGTGACTAATGTCATGTTCAATATGTAGTGAAGCTATGATGAAGAAGGGGCTATAGATAGATAGATATATACTGGAGAGAGAGAGAGAGAGAGAGAGAGGGAGAGGGAGAGAAAAAGAAAGAGAGAGGGAGGGAGAAAAGGAGAAAGAGAAATAGAGAGAGAGAAGAAGAAGGGATATATAAATATATATATATATATATAGAGAGAGAGAGAGAGAGAGAGAGAGAAAGAGAGAGAGAGAGGGGATATTAAATTAGCTTGTGAAGGTAATTCAGAGTTCACCCATACTCCATTAAAAACTAAAAACATTTATAACACTTTTTAAAAGTTTTGTCCGACATTTGCACTAAACTCCATGAGCTAATTATTATTAACGCTAATCAGAGTGATCAATCGGAGTGTAACTTTGTTAACAATAAAACAAAATAATTGTTTTTATTTTCTTTCATTTCATTTCAATGAACACAAAGGGGACTAAAAATAACAGAGAATACAAAAACAAAACACGAAGTACAACAACAAAGGAAAAGCAACCATCAGTTAATGCAGGTCTGTGGATCACTAAATGGAAATGAGTTCTTTTACGAGACTCTCTTTATCATTCTTATAGATTGATTTGCTTGATTCACCAAAATACATTTTCGTCCATATTTACAATGTCCTTTCATGTTACATTTTCAAACAAAGAACTGATCTAAAACAATAAAGAGCCAATGATTAAAACAAAGTCGTCTGTTGAAAAATTCATTACCACATGTCAAACATTGTTGAAGGAAAGGCGCGAAATTTTGAGTCAGGAAACAACGACAATTTTCAGCAAATTTGCCATTGTTTAACAGATGGTCGACGAGCGTGCAACCATATGGTACATCCGGGCTTATTACGAAGAAAATCATATCAAAAGGGATGACTAGCAGATTCTTGTAAAAACCATCTGCAATAATGAACCTCTTAAAAGTCATGGACATAATAGAAAACAAAAGATGATTTCAGAACATCTCTGTTAGCGATAGAAGTTGCTGGAAACTTAATTTTAAAATTCCTAGGAATTTTGCTTCCTAAAATGACTTTGTTTGGACATGTATTTTCTTTTCCTGAAACTGCTGTTAAGATTAGGCCTATATTAGGTTTCAATATGTGTCTTCATACTCATGCTACTGTCAAATTATGGCATTTTGTGGTATTGGACTAAAGCTAAATCGGTATAAGTTTGGGGACTAGAAGGGAAAGACCACCCCGGCACAAAGCCAGCTGAGGAAAAATTAAGATTAAAACAAAAAATAAAATAAAAAAATTAACAGATGAAACGCAGAATGGCAAAGCTATATTATATAGCTATAGAGAGAAAGATAAAGCGAGAGAGCAAGATAAAGAGAGAGAGAGAGAGAGAGAGAGAGAGAGAACGAAAGAGACAAACATACGGATGGAACAGAGACTAGCCCAAAGGTGGTTGACACCCTAATTGATTTGAAGTACAGCGGAAATCGGGAAGAAAATGAAATTATTGAAACAAATGAGTGACCAAATCTCTGTAGAAACGATCAGGATATTTAGAAAACCATTCAGGATATTTAGAAGACCATCTCCATCAAAAGGGCGCCGTTCCACATCATACTTGTCAGCAGCCAATTATTCAGCTTTTCCAAGAGCTCGGTGGCCATAGTGGCTCCACCCGTAAGACCAGAAGGCCGAGAG